CTGAAAAGTAGAGCCTACCTGTACAGGGTTCCACTCCAACAGCTGATATAGTGTGTCCATGCTTGACTGCTTCAAGGCTCAAAAAGAAAGAGGATAAGACTCTGCGCATAAAAGACACTAGCGGTCTGCACCTCTACCGTGTACGCCCTAGTCACTCTTTCAGTGGTAGCGGAGCAGTGATCCTGGAAGACCCAGGTGAGCTCCTTTCCTAGGCATAGAATTGCTTGTGGGCAAACGGCCATGGATTGGATTGACGACTGGGAAGAGCCTGATGCGGATGTGGCTTATGAGCCAGCAGCCTACGTGAATAGGCATGTGAGAAGAGAACCAGCAGCAATAGCAATGACAACACAGGTCACTACAAAGGTGCCCCCATCTTATGATGGAAAGACTTCATGGTTTTCCTATGAGGATGCCATAGACGATTGGTGTGATATCACCGAGCTGGAAGATGAGAAGAGAGGACCAGCTTTGAGAAACAGATTAGAAGGAGAAGCAGCAGTATACAAACGTGTATTAGACAGAGATTCATTGAAGGCTAATGAGCCACCAGGAGCAGGAGTAGATTACTTCAAACGAGTACTACGACCATATTTCGTGAAAGGATCAACCAATGTATTCCCATACAGGTTTATGCAATTCGTGCGATTCAATCGAGGATCAGCCGACATGATGAAATGGATGACAAGATTCCAGATTTTACTCCAAAGGCTTATGAGCAGTTGGATGGACATGTTAGAACCAGTCACTCAAGCACATCCCCAAGTCCTTGCTCAGATGCAGGCAGATGCAGCGTTGACTGGAGTAGCACCAACGGCAGAAAGGATTCAGGAAATCATGCAGAATGTCAATGGCAATATGAGAATTCTTCATCAGAATGATTTTCCTTTAGGAGAGAATCTCATTGCCCTACTCATGCTGTCCCTTGCAGATTTGTCTCAGGACCAGCGAAACACTTTGACTTCGTTGATGACTCATCGTGGCAGGTACCTGCAGCAATACACTACAACAGAGCTGAGGACAGTTTTCATCGAGATGTTCTGCACGACAAAGACTTCAGTAGACAATCCATTGATGCAGCCGACAGGTGCTGGAGGTAGAAGATCATTTCTCGTACTAGACGAAGGAGAACTCGATGGTACATTTGGCTATTGGGCCGAAGATGAAGAAGATGGAACAGAAGGATTTTTAGATGCCCTGGACGATGTCTTTTGGGTATATGATGATCAAAACTTCTCGTGGTTCCAAAGGAGATTCCAAGGAAGAAGAGCCAGAAAAGGCAAAGGAAAAGGTAGAAGAAAAGGAAAAGGAAAAGGAAGATCAGGGCGTAGATTCTTCAGACCTCGTGGAAAAGGAAAAGGAAAGAGACGAGGTAAAGGCCATTTTGCTGATGAGCAACAGACAACTTTTCCAGATGAATACCTTGAAGAGAATCCTTATGAGGACACTTGGGAGTCAACCCAAGGAGCATATGATGCCATTCTTGCCGAGGATATGAATGACTATCTTCAAGGAGAATATGATGATGCCAATGACTTTTGGCAACAGCTTGAAGAAGCATGGTTTTCCCACAAGGGAAAAGGAAAAGGCAAGAGAAAAGGCAAGAAAGGAAAAGGAAAAGATAAAGGAGATGGCAAACAAGATGCAAACTATGCAAATCAACAACAGCCACGTTCTTTACCTGCACCTTCAAGAACTTCACAAGCATCAGGAGGTCAACAAGGTTTCTTTGCGCATTGTGTGACAGCAGCAGCTGAAGTCCATGACAGTGAGGTGGACTTGCTGTCAGGCATGATGACCTCATGCCAAGATGAAG